AGTTCGGGTGACATAAGTGTAATTTCGACTGGAATACGTACATCACAGCCAACATTATTGTTACAGATGCCGAAACATCACGTGGTTATCCTGAGGAACTGCACATACCCGTACAAATAGTTACAAAAATAGTGTGATGTCATGTTTTACTCCGTGAGCACTGTACATAATTTTACGCAAGCCGACAAATAAACTCGTCTAATGGATCAGGGCTTGCTGCTGTGTAAAAAAACTGGGGGATCAATAAGCTCCGTTTTTCACAGCTGAACGCGATAGCACTATCCTGTTCCTTGTGCGTAATCGTATCACTCAGTGTGTACTTTTTATGGTGTAATGTTACTTGAACAGTTTTAATGGTGGATAAGTAGTGTGTTTTGAGAAAGATAAAAGTGTTTTGTTTCAATGAAGGTTTCGCACATGGCTGAATTCTCTGTAGAAAAGGGGTATCATAGTTTAAACCACGAACAATATTATGTTATCTTAACGCAGTTGTGGAAGAAAATTGAAGTACAAAAGAAAGGCACCTAGACAGAGTGCACACTAACAACTGAAACTTTATTAGAGAATAGAGACATATATACGTGGTTATGAAAACAAGTGCGGTGAAAGAAACTGATTACATGAGCAGATAGATTGTATTAATTATGCGCTTCCAGAAAGGCTACCTCAGCGGCAAGCAATATAACTGACGATTGCGCGACACATGAATCACCATGCAGCTTTGCTGATGAGATACGCCTCTTCCATTTCCCGCGCAACCTTGTACCTAAATCTAGCTTTAACTACCGTATCATAAAACAAGGGCATGCAGCCGCATTCTCTACAATGCAATGATAGATTAGAGCTTGGTAGATTAGAGTTTAGAGAAACTTGGTGTAGTACAAGTTATATTATTGAATCCAAAGTAATACTTCTCACGCGACAGCGGAGTGCCATACACCGCACGAAGTTCACACGGTGAAAGAAAATGAATAGATTTCTGCTCATATAATCTTTTTTTTTTCACCTAACGTGTTCTCGTAACCGCATATAATGTCTCTTTCTCCAATAAAGTTTCAGTTGTTAGTGTGCGCTGGGTCAAGGTGTATTCGTGTTGTACTTCAATTTTTTCGCGCAACTCAGTTGAGATGAATTATCAACTCGCCCAGCAGACCACGCTTCTCAGTATTGTGTTTGTAAAGTGTTTTAGAACTTGCTATGCACCCACTACGCAGTCTTGACGGAATGCGTGCAGCAATGCAATGGTTGGCTGCCTTTAAACCACGAAGTCGCGTTGGTAATAACGTGTTGTGATGCCCGATGGCAATGCATGCTTTTATCATGCAATGTTGCTGCGATATTAAATGTTGTGATGTGAAACCTGTATACAGGATGCGTGTATTTGTCAAGCATGACAGTTATTTTGCTTGCATTTTCAACCAGAGAAAGTTATTCATACTTTATTTCCAAGTTCACGCATACCTATGTAGTAGAACACTTGCTTGCCATGCAAATGGTCTGCATGGTTTCGATCATCGCTCAGACCCGAAAAATTTTTATTGTTTGCTTTGTTTGCATTTTTCTCAATTTTGATCACGGACAAGATTATTTTCCACTCAGAACCACCGACGCCTACGCCGGAATTTCTGCGGAACGAGCTCTTTACCTCGGTTGCTGTAATGATGCCTTATTGGTAGAACGGAAAGTGGGTTACGTGAACAAAATACATTTTTTAGTGTCCCGTTGGCAAGAAATATCGCTAATAGCCTCCATTTCAATGCGCACAAAGACCTATAGACTCCAGTTTCAGCAGTCACGCTTTAGGCCATCAAAATACGTGTACATGACAAGCTTGCATACCAATCGCTTTTGACCGCCCTACATAAAGGCCAGTTATCAAGTTCCTTAAATTATTCAATGCACACGCCGTTCATACGGTAAACAGCAAGTCAATATTTCTTTTTGACTCACTGTGGACACTCAAGTGACACGCCAGAAATGTTTTAAGTGAAAACACTGTGAATATTGTTTTACGAAACTCGAATTGCGATTGAAGTTCTGTCATGCCATTTATCATTGTGAAGTAGGAATCGATAAAGCAAAATATTTAGTTGCATTGTATTATGTCTCAGACTGCATTTACAATAGGTTCAAGATAAAAGAAAGCGCACGCAAGACTGACCTATTTCAAATAATACTTTACCAAAACAATCAGATAATGGAATCAACTGCCTTCTAGCATTACCACTACCATATCAAATTATTTGTTCTATTCAGAATGAGTGTGTTATATTTTTCTTGAGTGTGTTGCATTTTTCATTGATATAAGTATTTGTGTTGCAGATTGTGATTGAGGCGACTTTGATTATTTGTTTGGCTGACTATGTATCTTTTTTGTATTCTACTTTTTGTAAACGCTTCCCCACTGTAACACCAATTGGCGCTGTGAGTAATGAAATGAATAAATAAACTGGCTATAGATATGCAATAAACCTAAACACAATCAATGTATTACTTCAGGAGAAATGGGCTAACAGTGACATGCTTGGTATGTCTTGATCCGCAATACTCCCGTTCTCACTTTAAACAGCGGATAACTACCATGAGAATTATCGTAGGTATTTTTTTGCAATATCCTGCCTGAAAGTCCGGTAGGTCTCCAGCGATAATTTCGTGCGCATTCTAATATTCCACATGCTCCTCTCTGTTTCCTTACCTTCTTCATAACCGATGTTTCTTTTTGGCTTGCTATTCTTGTGTTGTCTAAATGCTAACTTGACAATTTTCCAGTTCGTTTTCTCCATTTAGACTCAAATGTGAAACCTACACTACCTGGCGGGTAATAAGACCCTCACTTGCTTAATAGCGCAACGGCCCTTGTGGCCACTCTCTATGACGTTTACGTAAATGTTTCTCTACACTGATGCTATATGCAATGTTGGTTTATTGAGTTGATCACTCCATGGACTACGTGGCGGGAACTACCTTCCCGTAATCTCGCGACTTAGCACTGTGTTATAACCACCAAACTGCCCCAACTGCACCGGGAAACTTCACAACAACGCACAAAAAACACGCCAACATTTGAAGGACACTTTAAGAGTCGCCATCTATCGACGGTATAAAAACTACCACGTCTTGTTTGCAGACTCTGCCTCGAGGTGGCACTAAAACGCTTGTTGCTATTAAAGCGGCTGTTTTTAAGTTCTCGAAGTGCCCGTTACACAGAGCCACGTTTACTACTGCATTCGCATACGTTTAGAGGTAGAATTATTATGCATAAACGTAAGTTACCTCCGTGAGTTCCGGAATTCACTACATGTGCAACTCAACTATAGCTCAAAACGAACGTTTCAAGGGCCTTCTTATTTACAAAAGAGTAATGTAGTGAGATAGGTAATAGTGCACTTGAAGTTGTAAAAGACTATGTCTACTTAGGGCAGGTAATAACCGCAGAGCCTAACCACGAGATTGAAGTAACTAGAAGAATAAGAATGGGGTGGAGCACATTCGGCAAGCACTCTCAAATTATGACAGGTAGTTTCCCACTATCCCTCAAGAGGAAGGTATATAAAAGCTGTATCTTGCCGGTACTTAGCCACGGAGCAGAAACATGAAGACTTACAAAGAGGGTTCAGCTTAAATTGAGGACGACGCAACGAGCAATGGAAAGAAAAATGGTAGGTGTAACCTTTAGAGACAAGAAGAGAGCAGAGTGGATTAGGGGACAAACGGGGGTTAAGGATATCATAGTTGAAATAAAGAAGAAGAAATGGACATGGGCCGGGCATGTAGCGCGTAGACAGGATAACCGCTGGTCATTAAGGGTAACTAACTGGATTCCCAGAGAAGGGAAGCGGGTTAGGGGGAGACAGAAGGTTAGGTGGGCAGATGAGATTAAGAAGGTTGCGGGTATAAATTGGCAGCAGCAAGCACAGGACCGGGTTAACTGGCGGAACATGGGAGAGGCCTTTGTCCTGCAGTGGACGTAGTCAGGCTGATGATGATGATGATGAATGGAGTGAATATTTTTGAAATAATTTTAATCCATTCCATTCTACGAAAAATGGCTGACCAGAGAAGCTGTGTAACACACATTTGTTTACTTAATTAGTTCATTGATCTACCTGCACACTTGCTTAAAATTTATGAATATAGCTTCGTTCTTTCTAAAGAGATTTCCTCTCGATGGGCGCGCGCGAGAATGTTAGCGTATAAGCTATTCATTCGCGTATATGGTAAATATAAATAAATATTTATTACCTTTATTTTGATAGGCCAAAATGCAGGGGAGTAGCCGGAAGTATTTTCTTTGGGGGGGGGGAGGGGGTTTAATAAATATCTGTACGCTTATGCGTTTGTTTGTACGTACCAAATGTACACGTGCAGAATACCAAAATTCAGGGGTAATCGAGCTCCTCCGCCAGCCCACAAAGTTTCCCCTCCACTTTCCCCTATGGCTGCGGGACATACGTGCTGAAGGAGGGTATGTTGAGCAAGCAATTCTTGACTTAGTGACGGTTCACTTAGTTGCGATATGTTCATGTTTATGTTGTTTCTGGGGGTCATAGTCACTTAGGCGAATTTCATCATTTTGCGAGCTGACATGTCTGTTTGAACGGGCTGGCTACGGTAGCTCTTGTTCTAATTGGAATTCAAACGCAACATAGCTAGTGGCAAGGATTGCTTCTTAAGAATTATGCTGAAGTTCTTGCAAGAGTGTAGTCAATAATATATTGGTGGATATGTTTATCACGAGTAACTCGCACAATCAGATAAGTGATCGGTGCTGCCAACAACACAATAACGTTGTGACGCATAAATCAAGGAGATGCTCTTGAGCACCATAGGACTCATCTAAATTTCCAGCTTGGTTTAGTTTCATAGGTTTTTAAGCATCCTGCAACCCGGCTCTTGGTCCATACCTTTTTGTGGGGGAATGCCATCGATAAGAGATCATCATTATCGATTGTGCCATGTTCAACAGACACGCGTGCACAGCGTGATTAGAAGAAGCAGAGATGTTGTCCCGACTGGATGCAGGGCCAAGTTGTCGCCACTCTAGCGTCGCGGCGCAAAAGGCCGTGGCGCAGCAGTCGCACAGGCTGAGCGTCTGCACTACGACGTCGTCGACGTGCAGCTACGCGACGAGCAAGTCGACCGAATCGGAAGCACGTCCCCACGCCGACACGTGCGACATCTCTTCGGAGCCGCTGCAAACGGACAGCGAAATCACAAGGTATCAAAGTCCGTGCACTATAAGGGGCTCTGCAGCTTTGAAGCTGCGGTAAACGATAGACTTGATTCACGGTAACTTCACCGTCGTATAGGGATGTGTTTTCGCAGCTTACTGATAGAGTTAGACGTGACATCACAGACTCAGATTTTTTACTCTCTGGTGTTCCGAAATGGTGGCTTTGATGACGTAAAGGCAGCCTGATGGCATGGAGGATAATCTTATTATGATGACACTTCCAGAATATTTCTTACAATCGTGCATATATAAGAATGATGGCCACCTCAGATCAAATGACGACCCTAACATAACAAAATTGAATGAATTGCTAGGCGAGATGGTGCATTTTCTAAAGCTGGGCGAGATGGTGCATTGTCTAAAATTAAATGCAAAGCACGAAAAACAAAACAAGACAATCGTTCCTGTCTACTTGTCTCCTGTGTTAGCTAAGTTGTCTACTTGTCTCCTGCGTCAGTTAACGTGACGTTACAAACAACTGGTCCTGTCATGTCGAAGCTGTTTCAAATTCCAGCGACGTCAGATGTCTTGCACCAGTGACGTTACTAAACCACCATGTCAGAGCATTCACATAGTAGGCCACGAATAAAGCACGCTCAAGTGCAGCAGAGCAAAGAAAAACCTTTTAAAGGGTCCCTGAAATGTTTTTTTATATTCCGTTTTTTATGAAACCACTACTGAAGCAAATCATTAGCCACAGAATTCCACCGAAACACCCAATAATAACGGAGCTACGAGTACTAAAAAAGTACCCTCCTTCTCGTCCGCTTCACCTTTCACCCTCAACTGTTCCTTCGAGTGCTCGGGGCCAAGCTCCACCTTCACGGAGCCTGCGTCACGATGTTGCGTGAAACCACGTACACGTCAATCCCGCCGCCAATCCGATACCGGCAGTCTGTGCTGCGTGTTCTACAGCCAATCATATCAGCTGGAAACGATGTCAGCGGGGCATGGTGTATCGCTTGCTGTGTGGGTGGTTTAAAACGCGTTTGTCCCAGTCGCCGCGATCTGCAGTGATATCGAGCAATGCACAGCTTTAAGGCTTTGTAATAAATTACAGTTTAAGCAGAGCGCTCAAATCGGTCTCTAAATTACCCTTGAGGCTTGGTCTACAGACTCAATGTGTTTGTGAAATAACGCCAAAACCATTTCAGGGTCCCTTTACGAGCATTGCCTCGCCGCGATGGTCTAGGGGCTAAGGTACTCGGCTGCTGGCCCGCAGGACGCGAGTTCAAATCCTCGCTGCGGCAGCTGTATTTCCGCAGGAAGCGAAAATAAAATGTTAAGCCCCACATATCAGTCAAACAATCAATGAATGAATGAATGAATGAATGAATCAATCAATCAATCAAACAACTCTAGATTGGCCACGAGGAGGTTTCACAATAGTTCCACAGTCTCGGTTGTCTTCTCACAGTCCTTAAATATGAGTAGTTAGTGTAGAAGTACTTTCGCAGTTGAAAGTGCGCTGGTAAAAAATAACATACTCCTTGCAGCTAATGAAAGGGGCGCTCACTTATATTTTCGGCAACTCTTGAACAAACTCAGAGCACCGCTATTCTTTCACGATTCAGTGGGCAAATTCATCATTCATATGCGGCAGAAAATGACCCCGGAGTGAACGAAAAACATCACAGACGAAGCGCTCGATTAGTGAATTCTATCGTTCATTGGAACTTACAACTCCGGACTAAGAGGCTGCTTTTTTCTTTACTGGGCTGAATACTGCAACGCATTTCATTGGGTCTTCAGATTTCTGCATGGCACCTTCAACATCGAGCCGGAGATGGCAGGCCCACTGCTGCAGTTCCCGCTGGACCTGTACCGGCGCATGCGCCAGGAAGGTGGCAACGTGGTGGTGTCACCCTGGTACCTGGCCTGCATGCTGGTCACAATGTACCACGGCTCAGGCGGAGACACACGGACACAGATAGCGCGCTTGCTCCACACGGACGACGACGGACAGATCGTGGCACGCTTCGACAGCCACGCCAGCCGCCTGTTCTGTCGGGACTTCCACAAGCCACGCCACACACACTCGGGTATAGCGCAAATACACCACGTTTTTAGTAGCGCCGAACCATCATACGTTCGAAAAAGAGGCCGCTGAGTTCATTGTTGGAAAAAGTTGGAAGCGTTTTTTTTTTTTGACGGCTAATAAAGTATGCACATTTTTTGTTTTATCTGCGCATGGTCATAAAGAAGCGGTGCAATATATCAGCGATGCACAGCTGTCGCAACGTGAAGCAATAATTCCCCTTCTGCTTTTCTGTGTGGCTGACTTGCAGTCGTTACTGTTCATCTGAGCACGTGGATGATAAGTGGTAAATGAGTGGGCGTGACCGCGGATACACGTATTGTGAAGACGACGCAAACGTCGACCGACGTTTGCGACCCGTTAGCTGGTAGTCTGCTGCCTTCTCCATGTTTTCAAAGTGTGAAGGTCTTGTTTTTTAGACCACAATAGCTACTAAACAGCCCGCATCCTTATTACGATGAAAATAAGTTCTGTGCCCACTTTATTTTTCGTCTTAGTGCGCTGTTCTATATTTGACTGCATTTATTTTGTCTGGTTGTTCTATTTCGTGTCCATATGCGTACTGGTTCTTTTTTTCAATAATAGGGCTGTTAACGTTGCTTTCGGAGTACAGGACATTTTGAATATGAGGGCTCTTTTGCATGTCTGCTTATGCTGAAAGTAAACTTGTGAAACACCAAATATCTTGCGCGAAACGCTTCCCAGCGCTTCTCCACGATGCGGTAATATGGCTGTATAAATCTGTTTCGGACTTTGGCTCAATATTACTAAAAAGGAGCAGCCTCGTGAACAACTGATTGATGACTTACCTGTGTCAGCGTCAGTAGGTACTACAGATGCACGTCAGCTTGTCTACTGTCTGTCCAAGATAAGTACAACGAAGATTACGCAAAGAAATGTCAGTGTTGTCAGTTCCAGAAAAGTTTGGTGCCTTAGACGGACAGTAGTAGGAAGGCTAGAACAAGTTATCTCTTGCGGTTTAAACAGAACATGAAATGCTTGACCTTCGCTCGCCGCCCAGCTGCCGAAATTCACTCAGGAGTATCCTATGGTTTTAATCCCAGCAAAATGCGATAAAATCAATACATTGTGGTGTAATACTGCTTCATTGTAACTGTGTTAAAACAATCACAAAATATTCCAAATGTGTAAGATAAAAAACAATATTAATCCATCTTCGGCTTATTCAATATATCTAAAATATTTTTATAGACAAAATCATGTTGTTCGTATGACAGCATACAAACCAAGAAACGCTGCTCACCAACTAATACCTTCATTATGTAGCCTCGAGTCTACTTTCTGAAAAAGTTCTTAGGTGAGGAAAGCGAAAAAAACATATTAAAGTGAGAAGACAGAATACGCACTTGGTATAGTCTGCCATTGCCCAGGCACATGCCAACCTTGTTATACGTGCCCCTGCTCATTGTCATTGCCTTTACCAATGTGAATGTACAGGACTGAACGTGACGTCCTATGCCGGGCTCTACCACGACGCACGAGTAAACCTTTCCGCCGAGTTCAAGGAGCCGCTCTCCAACCTGGACATTCACTTCCACGTTCAGGACTTCGCGGAGAGTCCCGAGCAGAGCAGGCTCACACTGGACGGCTTTCTGCGCGCACTGACGGGCTTCTGCTTCGAGCGTGACATCTTCAGCGGCGACAGCATGGACCTCGACACTGTCGTGATCCTGGCCAGCGTGTTCTGCTTCGGCTCTCGCTGGTTCGTCGCGGGTGGAGCCCAACACTCGACAGGAAAGTTCGGTCCCGAATACGCCGGCGACGATCGAGGGGGCGAGGACGTCCCCACGCTGTCTCTGACCGGCATCTTTCGGCACGCCCGCTTCCACAAGGGTGACCCTTTCTCCGGGATCGTGGTGGACCTGCCTTACCAGGACCCCCGGCGGTCACTCGTCATGTTCGTTCCTGCGCCGAACTCTAGCCTCGTCGAGCTCGAGAAGGCGCTCACCGCAGCCACGATCCTGACGTGCCTCGGCCGCCTGGAGCACCGAGGCCTGGTGACAGTGACCATGCCCAAAATGAAGGTGAAGTGCGTCACCGATCTGAAGCGCTACCTGCAGCCCATGGGCGTGACGGACGCGTTCAACGATACGGCCGACTTTGTCAATATGGCGCGCATCGTGGGGCTCAGGCTCTCGGCGGCGAAGCACTTGGCCGTGTTCAGAGCTGGACACAAGGGTCCGAAAGTTCCCTCCGCGCAAGCCAAGTTCGTGGAGAAGGCGCGTTCTGCCAGCGGCGGCAAGAACTTGCTGAAGATAACGGTCGATAGACCGTTCATGTTTGTCGTGCTCGCCCGTGATCCAGATACCGTGCTTTTGCTCGGGTCGTTCACGCACATTATCTAAGGTGGCGCATCGGCGCTCTAGTTATGACGTGTTTTTACGCTAATCGCTGGCGCAATAATATAATCTTTCCAATTCAGTTCTGTTGCGGCTTTTCTCATACGAAACGCACAGTTTAGTTTTTAAGGGTCTTAGATATTTTTTTAGAAGCAAAGCTTCTTAAGGCGTGGGTGCTCTGTGCAGTGTCAATTTTTATGAAAGGAAACACGGGAGCGCGTGGACTGCGCACTCCGGTGGCTGCTGGCAGTGCGTTCAAGCGGCAGCGAGAACAACCACAGTCTCTTTTCGCTTCATCTCGCGGTGAGAAAAACAACAATTCTTTGCCGATATGGAACTATGATATGGATTGCGAACCCCTCCTCTTTTAAGGCGATTACGTGAGAGCCACTAATCGCCGTGAAGGGGAGCGGTTTATATCTTGCCGTTCCATATCAGCAGCGAATGGTGATTTTGCTCGCTGCGGGACGACGGGAGAAAGAGACTGTGGTTGCTCTCGCTCCCACTTGAATGCGCTGCCAGCAGCCACTGGAGTGCGCAGGCCACGTATCGCCGTGTTCCCTTTCATAAAAATTGACACCGTACATGCTCAACGTATGTAGTTGTAGGTAGACACCTCAAGTTTAGTCCTTGGAATGTTCACTAGATGGCGGTACTTTTGCTGGGTGAAAAGATGCGAGATGGCAGTACTTGGAGTGTTAACTAGATCAACAGACGGACAGACGGGTGGACAGACAGACTATTTCCGGTTTACCAATAAACCCTCCAAAGCTTCGCGTCAATCATTATCATTCCCTTTGTGGATATGCTGCGATTTTTTAGCAACGTTGAACACTCTCTCAGTTTGAAAAGAAGCAAACTACAACACCGCAAGTGTAATCGTTATCTTGGGAGCATGCCGAAGGGAATAGCAAAAATATTGATTGATTGATATGTGGGGTTTAACGTCCCAAAACCACCATATGATTATGAGAGACGCCGTAGTGGGAATAGCAAAAAGTCAACACAAATGATTTGCAAAGAAAATGTGCATTACCAAACGCGCTCTCCGAACTAAGTTGGCTCGAACTTGTAACTCGCCCACAGACCTCTTGCTTTTGCGGGACAAGTCAGAGAGATATATCTTTATTAAATAATTTCTTTGCGTACTGCAAGCACTTTTGCCTTCTATCCGCAAATCTATCTATCTATCTATCTATCTATCTATCTATCTATCTATCTATCTATCTATCTGTCTGTCGTTCTGTCTGTCTGTCTGTCTGTCCATTCGTCTATCTATCTATCTATCTATCTATCTATCTATCTATCTATCTATCTATCTATCTATCTATCTATCTATCTATCTATCTAGTCGCTTAGCCTGGGTGCTCTCGTTATTACCCTTTAACTTGGCGTGAACAAAAATTAGTGTGGGCGAGTAAGATGTTTTGACGAGTATGACACATCATCAAGATATGAAAAATGTAACAATCTACTCACGTACAATATCAAGCACTTGCCGCCAAACGGTGGCACAAACCCGTGGCCGGGTATGTGCCACTGGTATGCGGGTATGTGCCCCAGATGGCTGACAATTAGTATCGTCACATCCTTACGTTTTGTTATCGCCTGTCATGATATGCGCGGTAGGTTCATCTGGTGCGCGTTGTTTGTGAGTTTGTGCTGTGCCGTGCGCCGACGAAGATGACGATGAGACAAGGAAAAGGCGGAATCGTGTCGGAAAAGTCAAGCCAAGCCATGGGGAGAGAGAAGAGGAAGAGGACGACAGGGCGTTCGAGAAGAAGGATCCGAACGAAACAGTGGCAGGCTGAAGCGCTCGTCGGGTCGTGGTCCCGAAGCCTACCTGTGCCTGTGGTCCGCACGAGCCTGGCTCCCTTCTACCGTGTGATCCAGCAGCCGGCGCTGGTCCGTTGTACTCGGATCCGGGCGTTTTCCAGACCTGGGCCTACTACTGGCTGTCCGGGACATGCTTGCCACACATCGACTCTGCCTCACGCTCCGCTCCGACCATGCCTGAGTCATCGCTGATGTCGGCGTAAGACGCAACGCAACGCATCGACTCATCTGCCTTCGACGTCACACGGTGAAGTGTTTCAAACCTGGTGTAGTGCAGTGTAGGACTACGCTAAGCGTCAGACCTTGTCTTTCGAGAACGTGTGTCGTGCTCGTACCTAAGGCAGTTCTTCGCTGTTGCCATGTAACACGCCAAGCTTCATTATCGTTTTTTTTGTGGCATTAAAGCCTCATAACTCAAGTTGCAAATGTCTTCGTCAGTCTCGACAACGATTATTTAAGTTGCCGTGATTACCCGAACCTTATCCCTCACATCGCCCCGTTACACTTTGGAAATAATATTCAGCGCAAACCGCACCTGCAGCGTTCAAGAAGCTTCGGCACTGTCGCAGATCATTTTGTTAAGTATACGAGCGCAACGCGAACATTACAGATTATTCTGGAACTTTTGTCACCTCCAGCGAAAACACTGGAATATTTGACGGCACATGATAACTGCCGACGCGCTTCACCGCTAGTCAGCTGATCGACGGCCGACGCACTGTACGGTGCTATCAATGCCAGTGGGTATCGCTGTAATCTGACTTTTCGTGGACTGGCCACAAGTTTGGCCTAATAATTCGTTTGATCTTTGACCTAGAGTCTGCTCCCTTCGTCGGCGTCACCACGCTGTGACGGTCTCTACCGAGTAACAAGAAGAGCACACGCGGCCAATTTTAACGCGTGAGTGTCAAGAAATACCTATCGGGAGCGTTTGCCATACGAATTGAAAAATAAATGTAAAGGTTCCAGCAGGAATCAAGCCCCAGTATTCTGCGTGGCAATCGAGCATTCCACCCCAGAGTCACGCCACGCCTCGGTACTACTATTTATTAGACCATATTGTTCCTGAAACATCGATTGTGGTTGATGTACTGGCTATTCGATTTTATAAACATTGCATGTGTACTCCTAGGACACAACAGTCACGCCGACTTACCATCAAATGTAGCTAGGTTTCATGCGCTGAAGTTGATTTACGTAGCAGTGTCTATAGGTGCCGTCCTCGCGAGCACAAGGGCTTCATTTGAGCTTATCACTTCCGGCGTTTTTAGTGCTCATAATCCAGATGGCATGCATCGTTGTGCAAGTGCAAACTACTGTTTACATAAAGATTTAAAACTGTTCAACATATGACTGTGCGTGAAACATTTTTACGTATATTTGGTCATTTAATGGCATATCGCTCAATAAAGAAATTACAACGTTGTCACCTTCCCTCTGCATGATTCGCATAACGTTGATTTTCAAGGCGCGTGGAACCTGCCAAATATTTTTTATTATGATAGGCCTAGACAAGTTGAGATTACTCAAAGCCTACCTTAACCTGGTTCTCGAGAAAATTTCGAGATTATGAATTTACTTATCTCGAAGTGGCACATTGGTCAAGATCTGTGTTGTAGTATGCGCCTGAATCCGACATTGTGGCTCGACTGAAATTGTGATGGTATGTCGCTTGGTGCATGGGAATTCCCAAAAATTAACTATAGGGCACACTGGCACTGCGGTCGTTCAGCGATCTTGGGAATGATGGGTAGTACACACATTTGCCTAGTCTTTGTACTTGCGGGTGGCGAATCGTACTTGCGGCTTCGTTTATTGTTGTGTTTCGGTTGTGTTTTGAAAGAAAGATTGAACACTATTGAACTTCGTGAGCCGATTTAGAAAGTAAGTCTAAAAAAATAAAATGGTGAAGCGCAACCACTGAACAATTGCTAATACTTGTTTCGTAAGAAAACAGCTTCAAGCTACACGAACACACACGGAGCCAAAAGCAGGCCATAAGTACGGATATCAGACAAATGTGTGTACTACCCATCATTCCCATGCTCGCTGAAGCGCCGTGCGTTGCAGCTCCCATAGACACTAGCGCCAGAGTTACCTCTAGTGTATATTGGGAAACTCGATCTCTTGGTGAACCGTTAGAAGATAACCAAGGGTGCCTCGAGTTTTTCTATACAAAGACGCATCTTTGTACTCTCCTATAAACTCCGAAAATTATCGGTTACTTGTCAGCACTTCATTGAGGTTAGATTTACGCAGTCTCTTCAAACACCTAGTGCTTTGATCTGCGACCATACAACACATCGAGATCGCATAGGTTTAGTGCGGCTATTTTGAATAATATCACGCAGAGTGGCAGCACCTGGACGCAGCGCAGCAGTAGTAGTAGCAGCAGGAGCGGTTGTAGAGTAGTAGTTGATAAAATTATGTGGGGTGTTTGACATCGCAAAACCACCATATTATTAGGAGAGACACTGTAGTGGAGGACTCCGGAAATTTCGACCACCTGGTCTCTTAAAAGTGCACCCAAATCTGAGCACACGGAGCTACAGCATTTTCACCTCCATCGAATCGTAGTAGTAAAAGTAACGGTAGCATTACTACTACTATACTACTACTAGTAGTAGTAGTAGTAGTAGTAGTAGTAGAAGTAGTAGTAGTAGTAGAACTATTAGTACTATTAGTACTATTATTAGTACTAATATTACTATTAGTACTAGTAGTAGTAGTAGTAGTAGTAGTAGTAGTAGTAGTAGTAGTAGTAGTAGTAGTAGTAGTAGTAGTAGTAGAAATATTATGTACAAATAAAACAAGGGCATCTATCCAAAGCTGAGCTTCTCCGGCATGATGGTGCCCATATTAAAAAGCTCCACTGGAACGGGCCATCAGTTCACCGCTTTGGATAAGTCACAGCTGATGTTGTAAGACTTGGTTTGACATCGGTGTCTTCCATTCGGTCCATGTGCCATTTGTGTCACCTTCTCCGTGCTCTGCGCCATACTTGCCTCAAATGCCACACACGCTAAGCTTTTTGAAATTCGCACGTTGCCAAATGACATAAAGGTCTTTAAAAGTCTTCTGGTCTGTCCCATACAAAACAAATACGAGGCGCGTGTAAAACCTTCCAAGGTTCATTCTTCATTTTGTCGTGGAACCATCTCGTTCGCTCA